TTTCATGCTTGGATGCTTGAAATGGCTCTGATCGTTATGTGCTTAACGGAGCTGGTTCATGTGTACTGATTGGGGTCGGTGCTGTAGTGTGTAACCGTGCCCGGCCTTATTTTTCGATCAGTTGACTCTAGTCAACTAGCATCAACTTCGAAGGCTTACGTAATACAGTAATATTACGGATCACGAGATCGGTGCAACATAATTTTTAGATAAATTCGATCACGATCATTGCTCTAACGTTTTAGATGTATAAACAATGGCATCAAAAGAAATGCATAAGATAGGTATTTTTCATTCATATTATTAGACATTCATTCTATAATTTTGTATGATTTTTAATAATTTGTATCAGTTTTTGTAACTGGTAATGTGAAGAAACTTGAAGAAGTTCAGGCAATTCTCGGAACAACGGTTGAGTTAACTCACCATAAACTTGATTGTACGTTTTCTTTTTCTTTTTTTGTACCTATCAATGAATGTCACGCTTTATTTGTTTGAATTTTACATGCATACATGCATATGTTTTTGTTAAACATAGTGATCGAGATACAGGGTACAAGTCGTGAAATTTCCGCAGATAAATGTCGACGCGCCTCTATTGAGGTCTGTTTAATTCAAATTATATCCTTTGGATTTTTCGCAATTTAAGATTTGATTCTAATATCATATGAAATCCAGCTAAATGGACCTGTCATAACTGAAGATACTTGCCTTTGCTTTAACGCCTTGGAAGGACTTCCGGGACCATATATGTTAGTTTTTTTAAACTTGGAACTATTTATACAATCATTACATTTAAGAAACTCACCGTTTTTATTACAGAAAATGGTTTTTAGCTAAATTAAATCATGATGGTATGTGATGTCAACACATAATAGTGACAAATTATCTTCATCAAAGAATATCCCAACTTTATGAAATTATCTTTCCTAGATGACCGCATGTATTCGCCCAAATATACTCGATGATATGTGGATAAAAATAGTTTGATCATATTGAATGACGGGCTTAATTCTCAATCAAACATTTTCACTGTATTTCTAGGAATTAATATCGTCATTTAAAATATCAGATATAATTGATCGCATATTATTGGTCATCCTGTAAGTTCAGGATGTAGGGGACAACTCTCTATAACGAACCAATAGTCCTAAAAAATGTTTGTCATAAAGTTATGTATACCTAGCTAATCTAAACAGTTTGTTCTCAATAATTCATTATAAAGTGGTTCGTTATAGAAAGTTGAGTGTACATGTCATAGGTGTCATAGGTGTCATAGATCTCTAGCAAACTATCTATTGAAACTATACCTATTATAAATATACTTGCCTGCAAAATCCCTGTTTGTTCACAAATTCTGACCAAACTCCCAAGAATTTTATTACCAATTTTTTTTATTTTAAAAAAATATTACATATTCTTATAGTTATATATAATATATATTTGCAAATTTTCAAGATTATTTATTCAATTTTTTTTATAAATATTTTTTTGGGGGGGTTTGTCAGCAAGTATAGTTATGAATTATGTTTTTATGATCACGCGTCTTGACGATCTCACATCCTGTGCCTTCGTCACCCTATATCCCAGGTCTAAACAAAATGTTATCTGGATTTGAAGATAAAACAGCATATGCTTTGTGCACGTTTGCATATTGTGCTAAGCCTGGTACAGAACCAATATTATTTGAAGGACGTACAGACGTAAGTTTAACCTTTCCTTTGAACCAATTTATATTGAATAAATGTCTAATTTATTATTATTTAAAGGGCAAGATTGTACCTCCACGTGGCGCAAAAGATTTTGGGTGGGATCCAATTTTTCAACCTGACGAATTTGATCATACGTACGAATAATATCTTATTTAATCTCTCAATGCTATGGTGTTAATTGTTAATTGTTAACATTTGTTTTTTATATATGATGGATAGATATGCTGAGATGTCTAAGGAAACCAAAAATTCAATTTCACATCGGTACAAGGCCTTAAATAAATTGAGAGACTTTCTTATCACTAATAACTTGTCTCAAAAATAGATATATAATTATGTTATTTCAATTATATAATCAATAAATTTATCAATTTAAGCTCATCTTGCTTTTTAAAATACTACTTATTCAGTCTATAATACTTAGTCTTTAATTCTATTTAGTATTCAAGCATAAATGTCATCAATCAATAAATCCATTCTTTTATAATGTCCAAATCAATTGCCTGAAACTTAGTCCCTTCAGAATTATTTTTTCTAAAAAATAATAACACTTCTCAATTGCAAATTTCAAACCTATTACACCGTTTGTACAAAATTTATTTGAAATATGGATTTGATATCATAAATAATTAGATCATATATTTTTATGTATCCTTGATTTTTCTATAATTTATCGAATGCACATTTATTTTTGACGAGGGACCTTCTTCCTTTGCGATTACCATATACTGCATAATATATGTTGGTATATCAGCCCAAGTCTATCTAAAACCCGTAATTCCTGCAACCTAAACCTTCGAACAGGTTCTCACATCGGGATTCAAGTCTTACTAGATTTAGTCTAAAATTCACCAATATATAACATATGTCGTAAGTGGAAACAGAATTTAAGTTGATTCTGAATTTTTAAGGTCAGGATTGGGATTTTTAGTATAATGAATTCCGAAACTATTATTATTCAATTCCCACTTGCAATATATATACATTTGGAAGGTCAAAGATGTCTACTTCTTTATGTTTTATCGTTTTTGCCATGGCTAAAGTTCTATAGTTTGCATCATAATATTTTGAATACCTTTTACCGTATTTGTACATATTATCTGATTGGTCAATTTTAAGTATGCAAAATTTAACCAATTAGATCACATTCCGAAAATACACTATCCAAAATTACCAAGTTAACTAAAATTAATTGTCAAAAAAAAAAATACATGAATGATACGTACCGATATGGATGAAACATTTTGGCTAGGTTATCGTTACGAATGTGGGATTGGTTCTGTAAAAGATAAGAAATAATGCATTCATACATTATCAAAAATCTGCAGAAATGAATAATCATAACGGAATGTATAAAGTTTGGCTATTGTTATTATTTAGAAATTGGAAATAGATGAGCAATAAAGCATTTATATATTATCTAAAATCAGCTGAGGCTGTAATTCCGTGGGAATTTTAAAATTAAAGTTGGTTACAGATACGGAATTAGCATAGAAAATAGATATGACAAATACATGTATTTTAATTTTATACGTACGTACGTACGTATTTTAAGAATACTCAAATTATTTAATCCTTTAGAGAGTAAGTATAAATGACAATTAGAATAAATATAAATTCTAAATGATATGACGCAAAATCATTTTATTCATGTTATTAAATTAGTACGTAAGTATAAAGGACATTGAGTACGTATTTAAAAAATATTATTTATAAGATTTTAATACAGTAATATATACTGTATAACCGAATTACTAACTCTAACTTTAATACTATTTAGTCATGTTTTATTATATAGTAAGGTTAATGCTATATATATAGTTGTAATACAGTGTTAATAACAATTTTCTTTAGAAAAATAGTAATAATAATAGTAAACATCTTTTAGCCAATTAGAATTCGCAATATGATGAGTAAATTCTGATTGGCTAGAGAGTATCTGTAACTAAACCAGCCTTTGGTTAAATCTATGATAAATTTTTTATTTTAATTTGCTATAACTTTTACCCGTTTATAGGTTCGTTTTCAAACACTAGTTATTCATCAAAAAATATTTATGTTAAATGTGAGCAATAAAGAAACCAGAGTTCTAAGACTTATAATATAAAAACTTGGTCCGAAGATCATGTAGCAAGACTTACAGATTTTAGAACCAAGATCAGACCTGAATTGACTTTATAATCCTTTAGCATACCCACAAAAAATTGGCCATCCTTCATAAATTTTGACCCAGGTATAACATAAATTTATATGAAAAAGACCCTTTAATACAGTAGGCTAATAGGTTAATGTAGATAAATTACCCGGTAGGGCTGTTAAAAAGCTTGCCAGACTCAGTCCCTAAGTCGATTTCACCCGGAAATTTTAGGCTCATTCCGGATAAAGTTCAAATCAGTGTGCGAAATTCAATGTTCTCAGAGATTACTAATCAAATTTTAGGAGCTTAAAATATGGGAAAAAGGGACGAAATTGACAAAAAAAAAAAAAATTTTTACAAAAATTAACTATTTTGCGAATTATCGGTCAGAGCGCATAATTTGAGTACCATTCGATTGAGACGAATCAAATTATTAAGTTTTGGTAAAGAATTCTCTATTTGAGAATATTAAATAAACTTTTTTGATATAAAACAGAGTTAATCTTTCTATATTGAGAACAATGAAAAATTTCTAAGAATATTAAGGGCTTAAAAATGTTCTTATGAGAACATTAAATCATAATTAAATTTCACATATATACTATCGCTATGTGTTTATGATTAGGAGGTGATTGCCTATTTACGAAAGGATCGGACAATAGCCCTATACCCAGGTAACTGATTTATACACTTTAAAGTAACTTTTTAAAAACATAACATTTCATTAGCAAAAAAATCAACGAACGTTAATTTTCATTGTGCAAAAAGACAACATAATTAAAAGAAACTGCCTATTGAACTGTTCAATTAAATAAAAGTAACTAGAAACATTTTTTAATAAAAATATTTTACGTATTATATCGAATTTAAATAAACTATTATTAACTGCTTACTGTGATTTATACAGGTATAAGTTTAGAGTTGATTTAACGCTTAAAATTGATTTATAAGGCATTGATGTTAAAAAGTTTGAGTTTATAGATTAGCGATTGTATAGAGTCTATAAAATGGGTTTGGTTTATAAGTTGTCAATTGTGTAGTAGATTTGAGTTTATTAGAAATAAATATCATTTATATGTGTCTCTTATCTTTAAAGTATGTGGTAAATTTTTTTATATGTATTTAAATTTTATTTTTTTGTCGTTATAATAGACGCGAAATTTTTTAAAAGGTATTAATATGATTGGTTAATAACTACAGGTAATCGCGGGTATATAAAAAAACAAACTTACATGAGGCTTTGCAGAAAAAAAAAAAGATCCTTGCAAAAAAAAACCTAACCGTGGAGAATAAACCTTTTACTTAACTTTCCTACTAGGGATGGTTAAAAGTAAATGTGATATCCGAGGACTCTTTTTTTCATCAATAGTAACAAAAAAACACCAAGGACATTCATATAAACAATGTAAAAACAAAGAAGCCCATTTTCAAAAAGCCGCGACCGCCACGCGGCAAAAGAAGCAAACCTCAACTTCAAAATCGACCTCTCGCTCAAGGTCGACAACATGTTTGTCTAGCAAATTCGATAAACAAATATTCGGAATTATGTTATCAAGATGGTTTACTAACACTCTATACTCTACATTACGTTGGAACCGTAAAAATTATAACAAGGCTCCTTTGACATTCTTATCGGACGGACATTTTTTATTGACAAGGATATCAAAACGAAAGATGCAATACATCAAATTTATCATATATTGCCGACTAGGACTTTCTTTCTACTTACGATAATCACTAAATGTTCTATGTGTAATTTTACACAAGAACGATTAATTAAGCTTCGTGACTTATTCACGGAACAAATATAGTTTTTGCAAAGACCAAAGAAACAACCAAACTGAACACAAACATTCAGGCATAATTAATATGCTTTTTAGGACATAATTAAATGTTTCTTGCAAAAATCTCATCAATTATTTTGTTGAAAATTTACTTACACATATGGAAAGAAAAAAACCCAATCAAATTAGACATTCGGGACCTACTATTTAAATATTTGGCTACGGGCAAATACATCATCTCAGATAGTGTTGGTAACTGTTATTCAACAAATTCAACAAACGACCTACTTTCACTAATGTTGGTAACAGATCTGAAGCAGAATATATTCGAAATACAATTTCTCAGTAGGATAGGAATTATAATTAGGTATCTATAAGAGATATCAAGTTTGTAGTCGTAATAATAACAACCATGTATATTAGTTTGCTGTAAAAAGTAATAATATTTTCGTTCACATTGAGTTTCTAATTTTTCAATATTCGTACTAAATAACTAAAGTTTTTGTATTTGCAATACAGTATGATCATTAATATTCCTTGAGCAATTGATTTTTTGTTTCCCAATTATTCTATTTTTGCTATTTGTTTTTTTTTTTCATAATTTATCCAGAATCACCCAATGGAGACTAATTTATCCGATAGGACCGATAGAAAAAAAAAAATCCGTCCGCTGACTCAATTTTTCTGATTCCGTGTTACGCAAAATGAAAAATTAACCTTGCGTGGCTTACATGTATGACCCATAATTTTCAAGATTAAGAATTAACACAAAAAAAATCTTTCTCTGAGAATTTCCAAAATACCGCATCCACTTTTACTTATGATCAAACTACAGTATTCAATCAGAATCACATGATGAAACAAGACTATTACGTACAAAGTAATGAACCCGTCTCTGATTCATCTGCTGTTTCATGCCAAACTTCAGAGAAAATATTTTTAATGAGAAAGTAGAACAAGGTATAATACATAAATTATCTGTGTATGCTGAGAAAAATATTGCAAGAATTAAATGTACAAATTTCCGAAATTCGATACAACTATATTCGAAAAAAAATACGTACGTACGTACGCATTGGTGCAAAGATCCGGATACCAGACGCTATGTTCCGAAATGGAACACGCACGTGACTGAACGATCTAGCTTAAAAACGTTAAGTATAATTCATAATATATATATGTATATGAATAAATTTTAAATTGATACGTATATCAGCATCATTTAATATTATACAATAACGAAAACTACGTAGATTGATAAAATACTGCATATATATATATATATATATATTATAATATATATACTGTATATATTTTTATTTTATATGAATACTACTAAATTAAAATCTCGAGTACGTATATTTAAAATACTGTATCGATATTCTAATAAACATATTAAATACTGTATATTTGTTGCAAAAAATCTTGGTATGTAAAAAAGCAAATGAAAATATCGATATACGTATATACGTACGTACATACGTACTACTTCTGAAGAATCATGTATGCCGCTAATCAAATTTTCAGGGGCGTTACATTTGAAAAATGCAAAAAACTACGTTTTTGATATTTTTATTGGAGATAAATCTAAAAACATAGATTTAATCATCAAACGCATAATAGTAATCCGTTTCGCTCCGGACAAAAAATAGTAATGTCAGACTTAGACTTAATATATGCATTAGATAATTAGTAGTATGATTAATTTAATTGTACGTAGATATTTACTATTTTCTGTTTCAATCGTATAAAGTTAGAAACTTAACATTAAGATTTTTACATACAAAATTAACCATCATGTATATCGCAGATCAAATTTTCAGGGGCTCTACGGACGAAAAATGCCAAAAACAACGATTTTATTATTGGATACACCGATACGTCAAAATCGCATCAAAAGACATAGAAGGGAGTCCTCCGCTCCGGACAATTATTGACGAAAATCAATTATTTTGATCTTGCTGCTATTCATCTCCAAATTTATTATTAAATAATAAATGTTCATCTAATTTGACACATAAGTTTACTGCGAATTTTTTGAATTTTTTAGTCGTGAAGAAAATTTTATTATCTGTTATAAATCGGCCGTTTATACCTAAATATACGTAAAAAATGTTTTGGGGTTCAAGCAGCAATAACTCATCTCATCACTAGTTCTATCCAAAGAGTATTATATACATGTGAAACACGAAAAAAAATATCGATCACAAAAAAAGAAAAACAGTGAATAGGCTCTGCTCTCGCATCAATTTTCTAAAGAAAGAATAATATCATTACACAAAAATCAACTTCAAGTCCAACACTGATTGTTTTTTTAAAAAAAAGCATACTACGAGCTTGCGATCTAACTGGCCAGAATCCTTTGTTAGCCTACATTACATAGATATATAAATATGCGAACTCCAACTTTGATTACTTTTATTGTTTATTGAATTCCCAATTTGTTAGTCAATACTCTTTGGATTTGGTGTACAATCGGAGCAGTTAAGTACGTACGTACGTAACGTACGTATGAGTTTTATATTTTATAAAATCTACCTACATATTAGACATAAAAAATCGGACTAACTTCTTATACTAAATAAAGATGCATATACTGTGCAGTTAGTCTAGTATATTTTGATCCGCATTACTTATTGTTTGTAAATGAACTTATTCTCCAGACATTAACATTAAAGAAATCTGCGCTTTTTTTAACTGCGGTGACTTTTGCAAATATTCCCTTTAAAATTATTAAAAAGTAAAACACATCGTGATATCAAATTTTAAGGATCACAAATTCATATGACAAGTGAATTGTTATATACCATTTTGCGCTCATTAATGTACGTATTAATGTATATACTATTAATGTACTATTAATGTATATTAATGTATATACTATTAATGTACTATTAATGTATATTAATGTATATACTATTAATGTATACACTATTAATGTGCTATTAATGTATATACTATTAATGTATACACTATTAATGTGCTATTAATGTTAGGAGATACTGAAAATTTATAACCAGTTAAACTGGTATTTACTAAACTATATAGGGAAATTGCCTAGCCTTCAGAAGGTCATTTTATGTATGAGGTCAAGACCTTCTCACGTGAAAACGGATGCTAGAATGCTTATCTAAGCGCTTTACGTATTTTCATTATCATAAATGTTTCACAATTTAATATTAATAAAACGATTAAGGGGAATAGAATATTAGAAGGTGTGGGGAAGTTCTAGAGAGTTATGTTAATAATTTTGATATATACGTAAGTAAGTATGTACGTAGGTACAGTACATAACTGATAAATATATACAAATTTGATTTAATACAATAGGTTAAAGTTCTTTTAGTTAGAATTTGCTAGATTCTTTAGCATATATCTAATCAATATAATCAAAAAATAATTAAATAAATCTATATAATTCTATTTGCGCAAGAAATATCAAAAAAAAAAAGAAAAAATATTAGTAATAAAATTTGTTTGTTAATGACTAATTGCACGGGCCACAAAACCGAATTTCCGTTAAGAGTAAAAAAATTAGGTAATTTTTTTGCAGATTTTCTTGGTCCATTATTCTTGAAAGGGACCTGTAAGCCGGCGTCAATAATGTCACACTAACTCTTCTTTTTTTTTCTTATAATCAAGTTATTATCTTGTTAAAAATACGAATTTTAGTCTATTCATGATGATTTCAACTGATTCTCCTAAAGACCGACCTGTCTAATACAAGTGAATTGTTGCTTTGTTATTTATACTTTTGATATATTAAGAAAAATGACATGGTTAAAGATCTTAATCTCGTTAATCTGATTTAAAAAAAAAAAAAGGCTTAAATCGGATGTATCGGAAACGCTTTGTTTGTCGAATCTGCTGTGTCTCCCTAAATATATGTCAAACTTTGGAAATGTAAGTTTGACAAAATGAGTATTAAAACGTAATACTAGAATTTCTTTTTTAATATTAGGTAAGGTTTATTGATTCGATAATATATTTTGCATTTATGTTTTGCTGCGAAATGCGATAACCCCATCAAATTTTTTTTTTTTTATAATCAATTGTTATATTTGGTTTAATAATATTATTATTAATAATATTATTTTTTTTATTTTATTTTATTTTATTTATTTAATAATGCATCCAATCTCTTATCAGCTGATTAATGAGAAATTTTAATCAACTTTTATACTGTAAATTTTTTTTGATAACTTTATTTTTAAACATAATATTGTGTATGATCAATGTTACACTGGTCGAAAAGCAGGGGGAAATTAGGAAAAGCGAATCAAATTATTTCAATCACAATTTGGGGCGAACATTCGGATACTACCATGTGCCTTCGATTTTATCTGGTACAAGCACGTATATAAAAACAATTGGCTGTGGCTTTGCCAAGCTCTTCATTTTACGTATAAAAGGTATATCAAGCTCTTTTTTTATAATGACAATGCTTTTATATATCGATAATACGTTATAGTATTTATATATATATATCGAAATAACGATTATCTTTATTTTGTGTATTATTTATAGTTCACTATTAGTTTACTATTAGTTTACTATAAGTTTTTATGTTACACAATTCTTTTCTTCTGATTTTCCTCCTCACTTATAACTGTCGGAGGTTTGTATCTCCGTTTGGTGACCTATTCCAATTTCACCATCAAAAAAGAGTGAGTGATGCTAATAAAGGTGTTTCTGACTTTTTAAAGTTCCGTATTACCCGTTTGTTTAACTCCTTGCGACTAAACTTTCTATATTCACTCCTACTTTTCCTTTATTTTTTTTTGACGTACCCGATATTTTTTCGAATTATTTCTTTTTAAAAAAAGATTGTGCGGCCTGCAAGGAAGAGAACAACTACTATTTAAAGAATTTTTTGCACTCACCCTTACCCTCTTTCTTTTATTCGTAACTTTACGTTTCTCCGTACTTTAACTGTACTCTTGTTGCACTTAAGTTTTGAATCGGTTTTCGTGAGTGCTAAGTAATGTCTAATATACCTAATAATAGCGAATCGGTACGAATTCTTTTTTTTCTCGTTAATGTTTATCTATTTTTTTCGTTGTCGTTCTTCAAATACTTGGTGTTTAAGCACTATGGCTTTTAAAGTTCCATATTATTATTCTATTTGAACCTTTTTAAAAGGCGATCGTGTGCCTGTTTTAAGTTTTTGTTACTGCGTAATCGTTACCCCTATTACCTATGTTACAACTCGTTACTAGCTACACATATATACTAATAACAACAATCTATATTATTATTATTATTATTATTAATTATTATTTTATATTATAATTTTATTTATAGGTCGAAGAGACTCGCCCACCAGAGAATGATATTGACCCTCTTCTTTCTCAATTATATGCAATGACTCCAGGTATTTAAATAATTAATTGAATTTATTTTTGTTTATAAATATTCTATCATTTATTTATTCTGATCTTATTGACCTCATTCCATTTGTCAAAAAAATTTTTTAGCCACGGAACGAAGCGCCTTTCTTGATGAGGTTTTTATCTTATTTATTCTTTTACTAAATTTTTTTACACGTTTCCATGAAATTACTTCTAATGCTATATATCTTTTATTCTTTACAGGTCAACTCTATAGATGATAAAGAAATTCTAAGACGTATGCTCATACAAAAAGAAAAAGAAAAAGAAGATATGGCTCAAAATTTGGATGTTGCTGCTCGTCTTGGCCTTGCAATTTCCGAAAAAAATGATGAGCTACAATTGAAACTTGATCAGGCTAAACAGGCTGTTAATCAAGCTAAACAGGCTGAAGAACAAGCTTATCTAAAGGTAATATTTTTGTTGTATATTCCATTTATTATTACATTTTTCGTGACTCAATTTTTTATTAATTTATTTTTTTCCTATTAGTTATCTAAGCTAGAAGAAGAAAATCGTATCTTGTCTTCAAAAGCTTTACGAAGCAATGATCTTGCGTCTCAACTAGCTGCTAGTGAAGAACAAGTTAAAACATTACGAGAACATAGAGCTTTCCTTCAGAAAGAACTCGATACTGCACGACGAGAGCTAAAACGTTTCCGAAAAGAATTAGATAATCTCTCTGGACAAATGAGTGATATGGCGGAGGATATGTGGGAATCACGAAATAAAGTAAATACTTACGCTAAAAAATTGAGTAAATATTATTTTTCATTTATTAAATCATGTGAAATTATTTTCATTAGCATATGATCTCATTATCAGTTAATTTCTCTTCTTTTTTTATCTTTTAGCCGAAGTTGAACAACATCTAGCTGATACTCAAGAAATGAATGTTAATTTGTCTATACAGCTCGAAAAGTCCCTTAGTTCCCAAAAATTATCTAGTGCAACTACAACACAAATTGTTAAGATGATTCAAGCTGATCTTGGCAGAGTATGTATATACATTTATATATATATATATTTATTAAGTATTCATTGTTCTTTTTTTTTAAAAAAAAAAAAAAAAATTAGGTCGTTCTAGAAAATGAACATTTACGTGCTAGCATAAATGAATTGGAAAACCGTCAGGTTAAATGTGAAGGTAAACTTAGTGAAATGATGGTGTCGGCCCAAGAATATGCCCATCTTTTAGAAGAAGCTCAAGATACCATACATTCGTTGGCTGAGACTCGTCTAGAATCTGACATAGAAAATCTAGATATATCTCAAGGACGACGTCGTGATCACCATACTGATAAGACTATTAAAGTAATTTTTTTTTAAATATTTTTTTTTAAAGTAATATTTTTAATTATTATCTTTTTATTATTCTTTTAATTAATTATTCTATCTTATTTGTTTTATAGGATTCGCCTACCATGAAAGGCACTCCGTTTTCTACGGAGGTAGAACAATCATTAGAAAAGTCCATTGAGGAGCGTCTAATTTCTAAGATTACTCCTTCACGAACCCAGTTTCAACATGGCAGTAATACTTCTGTTGACATGAAAAAAGCTGCTGCAGGTTTGAAATATTTGCTGTCTACCAGTGAAGAAGGTAAAGATGGTGGTAAAGGAAAAAGCCCCGAGAGACGACCATTTGGTAGCGGTCATGTGTTGCATGCTTATAATGTTCATAATGTTCGATAAATTCTGTTTTAATTGGGACACTGGGCTAAATCGGGCGGATCTAAAAAAAGGACATTTATTATATTTATCTTTTTAATAATTTTTTTCTTGACCGATTTATATGATTTTACCCTATACTACCCCGGTCAATATTATTTTAATAACGGGCACGTCTATCAAATCTAGAGCATGAATAGTAAAAAAATTACTGTATTCACGTGATCCCGGTCAATGATATAGATGCACATATGTAAGTGCTTTGTTTAGTATATTCCCCTCAGCATTTTATCATTACACTTTTTCGCTTTCTATCCTTAATTTTTTTTTCATCCCTTTTTTCTTGTACATATATATATCATGTCATGAACTTGTGGGAATAGGAAAAAAAAGTGACTATACGACTTCACGACAGGGAAAATATCCTTTTACACCTCATTGACACCTACATCTTTCCATAATTTCCGAATTATTTTAATTCATCATCTTTCATAATGTTTCAATTTGTGTTAAAAATGGCATTGTTATTATTCATATATTATTATTATATACACTTATTATTATATTAACTAAATTGGTCCTCTACACTATCATTCTTCTACATATTAAGTATTTTTATTATATATATATTTTTTTTGATGGGTACGTCACCTAATCTTTCTTAAAAATCCAAGAGTTATATATACTTTTTTTATCTTTATACTCGTTCAAAAGTATTTATAAAAAAAAAATTTTTTTTTTTACTTCTTTGGCACATAATTTCTAAAGAAAAATCGAAAAATTTTTTTTTTTAAAAAAAAAAAATTTCTGACTTGGGTTTTTTTATTTTTATTTGTATAATGATTTGTTATGAAATGATTATCATTTAAGAAAAATTTATATATATATATATATATATAGCAATAAAGCAAACTTTGGATTTTGCTTTATCCGCTGTTAATTATTGTGACGTAATTCCTATGTTAGTTATATACCAACTTTATGAAATCAAGTGATTGTATAATAATAAATCATTTGTTTCTATAACCTTACGTATTCAAAATACATAAAACGTTCAATTGTATATATATTTTAAAAAAAATATATTATCGTTATTGTTATTAACGATGAAATTACCCGTGATAAAAATTTTTTATAAAAAATTAGCGATATCATGGTCGTGATGTACGTTAGTGCCATAAATCTTTCAGAAATCTTCATAATTTTTTTATCACTAATTTTGATAAATTTGGAGGTTATTTATAGCTCACAATTTTAACGGTTTGATTGGTTACAAATTACACGTTATCTGTTAATTCTATTAATCTGATTAGCTGAGTTCATGCTATTCAAAATTTCGAGAATTCCGAGAAGTGGCCCAATTAATGCAATTTTCAAGGTTTTGATATTATCCAAAAAAGATCAGCTAGCACACTAGCCATAGCAAAAATAGCAAAAAAAAAAATTGTTGCTAAAATGATTATCTAATACGTATTAGACAAGATTAATTTTTAATACATAATTAATAACAGTAGATAATATACTTTTTTACTTAAAGTTGATAATAATCATTATGTTATTTTCTAGTATTTAGTCTAGACTTATTTTTTATATTAAATGATTGTATTTTAAATAAATATATTTGTATAAAAAAATTTGTAATTTATATAGTGATAATAATTAATTCTCTATTAATATCGTATAAAAAAAATGAGCTAATTACAAAGTATAGTATATCGCAATAATATAAATACAGAATAGACAAGGCAGTTTTCTATAACTATACTAATGTACAATATTACCGTATTACCGCGAAATAACGACCATGGGCATTATTTCGAGGTGCAGCCCTATTTAAGACCTGGATTCATAATTTCATCCCTGCTCGTTATTTCGCGGTAATACGGTAAACCTTTAATTCTCTATTTATAACTAATTAAAGTGTTACTAGAGCTTGTACCCGTTTAAGAGTTATCCGGGTAACCCGGTTAACGCCTGTTAACCGGGTTATAGCATCGTTAACCGGGTAATCCGGATTAATTATCCATAAGCATGATAATTGTTAAAATGTGACGTGAGCTTTGGCCGATTTTGGGACATCTGGTAAAAAAATTGACCGAATAACTATTTGGCCGATTCGATATATTTTTGACTTCGGTAATGAGCAATTGCACAACGTACATATCTTTCTAATGACAAAGATAATGTATATTGATATCTTTGCGCTTTAGATTATACTTAATTAAGTTGCTATTACTTCAGATAAGGTAGTTTAAAAAATGTTTAGTCGAACAAACTAGAGATTTCTTCATTGTTAGATTAACTGTTTCAATATTTTTATCTAATTCATTGATTTGCTATATTTTAAAATTCATTATATATATATATTTGGTATTAAGGTGACCTCTTTGGCTGGGAAATGTTTTATTAGAAGTTTAATTTCAATTACAGTAAGGGTACATCAAGCCACAAGTGCACTTTAGGTGCCTAATTTAAGTAGTCTGTCTAAAGGTTCTACACTATCTGCTGTACCTGTATCCAACTATGGGGAATACCCATTTAAATCCTCTGACCATAACCTACTTTCAAACCAATGGGGACTTCTAACCCTGGGTATTACTTACTATTTAGAAGTAGATTTTGTTCCTACCCAATTGAATTTTGCACCCATCTTAGAACTTATTAAACTAGTCTATTCTTGAGGTAAACCTAATATAACAGTCTATGTCCCACACATGTTTTCATGCACATATTCCATAACTTCTTTCTAATTAGTATCTGTTATGCTGCTATACTAGATATATATCTCACATCATCTTTTGGGGTGTTGCTATCTTATGGTTATATATCAAGCTACATCCTTTCTAATTAGTTGCCCATTACATACTCTTGCTCTTATTAGTTTGAGATTATATAAATCTGGGTACCCACTTTATATTTACTTTTTCCTTAAACTAATTCTTCAATATCCTCAAACTACCAATCTAGTTGGCCTAGTAGTATTGGCCTATCCAGACTTTAAATAGATATAAAATTATTACTTTCTTTTGCTTTTGATAAAAAAAGAAGGATTAAAAAGATTAGCTTTTGATGAGTTTGACAAAGTTGTTCAAGCTAAGTAATAGATTTGGTGCATATAATTATTTTTGTCATATCTTATTATAAGTCAGAGAATATCAGGCTTATTATTCAGAAAAACATTTTTATTAATTAAATAAGTTTTTTATTACTTAAGCATTAGCAAGACCATTCAAGAGTTAAAAAAAAAAAAAGAGAGAAGCATTAAACAATACCAAAAATACAAAAATATAGTAATTCTATTGTTTATAAAAAATATAAAAATTGCTATAAAAAATATAAAAGTTCAAAAAACTAATACTGTAATTTGATTGGTTAATATAATGTTGATTTTTTATATAAATTTTTATAAAACAAAGGTAAGAGAGTTATATTAAATATAGAATCAACTTGGAGTAGCTTAACTAATATAATATAGCTTATACAACTCTTTTTGATAATTACTTGAATTAAAATTTTTCACTAATAGAAAAACTAAATTTTTGTTAAAGAGAGTAGCCTACTTAGTGGTTTGTCTAGAGATCAATGTTGTACTAGCAAAACTTCTTTATAAGAATGTTTGGCATACAAGCCAAAAGCATTATTATACAAGATAACTAGCAAGCAATACTCTTGTATAAAAAATCTTGGTGAAGTATAGGCAAAGCCCAACTTCATTGACAAAGCTTTTAGGTTGTTACTTCAAAGAAGAATACAAAAAAAACAACAAATATTTTTTCTTCTTAAGCCATACTCTTTTTACTTAGTCAAGTAGTTCCTCTTTTATTCTCTCTCGCTTTTTCGTTAGTCTTTTAAAATTTTTACAAAAAGTAGAGAATTTGGCTTATCCCTAGAGTTGTAGGTACAGAGGCATACCTCTAGAGCATATCTAAATTATATAACACAAAGCAATTACTTCTATTGGCTAAAAATTATTAACTATTTATTATTATTTTTTTCTTTATAATATATCTATATTAAAAAAATTAAATTATTCTAATAAAAATCAAAATCCTACTCACTCTCTTGTCAGTTTTCCAAAATTTCAACAAAAAGTAGGAATTTGGCTTACTTCCTCCAAAAGATTGACATTGTTTACTTCCCAAATCTGGACAGATTAGCAAAATGCAACTATGTGTTTATTTATAGACAAATATAGTGCTCTTCAAGAGACTTGGCCTAGAAACTCTAATTATAGTAGCAGGTGGCTTGAAACACAGATCCTCGGATAATGGCAGCACCTAGCTCAAGATATAAATTAAAATAGGCAATGAAGCTATCCAGAGTTGGTGAGAAAGTCAGAAAGTAAATTTAATATTAAAGCAAAGCTTTATAGTAAAGATATACAAATGTTGTATTTGTTATATAATTTTTATACTTGCCTAGCACAGGTTATAATAATGCTTTATAGATTGTTATATTTCTTTCTGTTTTTTCTGTTTTTTTTTTTTGTTTTTTGTTTTTTGTTTTTTTTCATTTTTGTACAACTTTTTTGAAAATTTTTTTCTTTTGTCTTGTACTCCTTGAGAAAAAAGAAGAATTAGAAAGAAAAGTTTAACAGTCATAAATAGACTATACAACAGCTAGCAAAGTATCAAGGGGGTATCTTTACGGTACTAAATTCTTAAAAAGTTTTGAATCCTGAGAGAAGTAAATAGTTGTTATGACAGGTTGACTTGGGCAGTATGCTTAGGTAGCTTTTATTAAATAGAACTATATTCATAAAAAAATTATTATATTTATTTATGATAGTTATACAAGATTCATATAAATAAAGGTATGACTATTTAAAAAAAAATAAATAAATAAATAAAAATCAAAAATAAATAAAAAAATATACAATAAACACAGACTCTTTTCAATGATTACTCGAATCAATTTTCTTGACTAAAGAAAAATAAAAACTCTGTTAGAGAGTTGAGTAGACTACAGTAGTAGTTTTTAGAAGAGGTCAACTAGCTTTGGGAACTCTTCACTGATATTCGGCATACAAGCCAGAAGCCTAGTTAAAAAGAAAAAGCAGGTAGCACTCTTGGTAAGCACTATAAATTCTGGTAGACAAAAACTCTGTTGACGTCTATTAAAATAGAAGCTATATTAAATTTTCTTAAAAATTGAGCAATAACACCAGATCAAATTTGATGAAAATTTTTTTAGTTTAATTCTATGAATTTATAGAATTCGAATAAAAAAATTTTCATTGAATTTGGTCAAGTTGTTATTGAGATATCTTTGCTTAAAGTTAGAGAAAATAATTTGGTGCAGCTTCTAATTTGATAAAAAATTCTAATTTTCTCTACTTTGATTGAAGTTATCTTGACAACCACCTAACCAAATTTGATGAAAATTTTGATTTAAATTTTATGCATTAATAAAATTTAAATAAAAAAATTTTTATTGAATTTG